CCGTTCCCGTGATACCTACACCAACTAGAGAGGAAGTTAATGATGATGATCATGAAACTTCGGATCAAGTTACTACTGGACCTCATAGGTCGAACAGAGCATGTTTCGCACCAGAGTGGTACGGTAATCCTGTCCTAGAAGTCATGTTATTAGACCATGACGAACCTACAAACTATGGAGAAGCTATGATGAGCCCAGATTCCGATAAATGGCTTGAGGCCATGAAATCTGAGATAGGATCCATGCATGAGACCAAAGTGTGGACTTTGGTGGACTTTCCCGATGATCGACGAGCCATTGAGAATAAATGGATCTTCAAGAAGAAGACAAACGCTAATGGTAATGTCACCATCTACAAAGCTAGACTTGTCGCGAAAGGTTTCTGACAAGTTCAAGGGGTTGACTATGATGAGACCTTCTCACCCGTAGCGATGCTTAAGTCAGTCCAAATCATGTTAGCAATTGCTGCATTTTATAATTATGAAATTTGGCAAATGGACGTCAAAACTACATTCCTTAATGTATTTCTTAAAGAAGAGTTGTATATGATGCAACTAGAAGGTTTTGTCGATGCTAAAGGTGCTAACAAAGTGTGCAAGCTCCAGCGATCCATCTATGGACTGGTGCAAGCATCTCAAATTGGAATATACGCTTTGATGAGGTGAATCAAAGCATATGGTTTTATACAGACTTACGGTGAAACCTGTATTTACAAGAAAGTGAGTGGGAGCTCTGTAGCATTTATGATATTATATGTGGATGACATATCGTTGATCGGAAATGATATAAAATTTCTGGATAGCATAAAAGGGTACTTGAATACGAATTTTTCAATGAAAGACCTCGGTAAAGCTGCTTATATATCGGGCATCAAGATCTATAGAGATAGATCAAGACACTTGATAGGACTTTCACAAAGCACATACCTTGATAAAGTTTTAAAGAAGTTCAAAATGGATCAGTCAAAGAAAGGGTTCTTGCCTATGTTACAAGGTGTGAAGTTGAGTAAGACTCAAAACCCAACCACGGCAGAATATATAGAGAGAATGAAAGTCATTCCCTATGCCTCAGTCATAGGTTCTATAAAGTATGCCATGCTGTGTACCAGACCTATTGTGTGCCTTGCCATGGTTTCGGCAAGGGGGTATAATAGTGATCTAGGATTAGGTCACTCGACGCCGGTCAAAATTATCCTCAGGTACCTAAAGATGACTAAGGAAATGTTTCTCGATTATGGAGGTGATAAAGAGTTCATCTTAAAGAGTTACGTCGATGCAAGCTTTGACACCGATTCGGATAACTCTGAGTCTCGATCTAGATACACATTGAAAGTGGGAGCAATTAGGTAGAGTAGCTCCATGCAGAGCATTGTAGACATGGAAATTTCCAAAATACATACGCATCTGAATGTGACAGACCTGTTGACTAAACCTCTCTCACAAGCAAAACATGATCACACCTTAGTACTCTTTGGGTGTTAATCACATGGCGATGTGAACTAGATTGTTGACTCTAGTAAAGTCTTTGGGTGTTGGTCACATGGCGATGTGAACTATGGGTGTTAAATCACATGGTGATGTGAACTAGATTATTGACTCTACTACAAGTGGGAGACTGAAGGAAATATGCTCTAGAGCAATAATAAAGTTGTTTTTTTATATTTATTCATGATAAAGGTTTATTATTCATGCTAGAATTGTATTGATCGGAAACCTTAATACATGTGTGAATACATAAACAAACACCGTGTCCCTAATGAGCCTCTACTAGACTAGCTCATTGATCAAAGATGGTTAAGGTTCCCTAACCATGTACATGAGTTGTCATTTGATAACAGGATCACATCATTAGGAGAATGATGTGATGGACAAGACCCATCCGTTAGCTTAGCATATTGATCGTTCAGTTTTATTGCTATTGCTTTCTTCATGTCAAATATATATTCCTTCGACTATGAGATTATGCAACTCCCAGATAACGGAGGAATGCCTTGTATGCTATCAAATGTCACAACATAACTGGGTGATTATAAAGATGCTCTACAGGTATCTCTGAAGGTGTTTGTTGAGTTGGCATAGATCGAGATTAGGATTTGTCACTCCGAGTTTCGAAGAGGTATCTCTGGGCCCTCTCGGTGATACACATCATAATCTTGAAAGCAAACGACTAAGGAGTTGGTCATGAGGTGATTTATTATGGAATGAGTAAAGAGACTTGCCGATAATGAAATTGAACTAGGTATGAAGATATCGACGATCGAATCTCGAGCAAGTAACATACCAATGGACAAAGGGAATTATGTATGTCGTCATAACGGTTTGACCGATAAAGATCTTCATAGAATATGTAGGAGCCAATATGGGCATCCATGTTTTGCTATTGTTTATTGACCGGAGAGGTGTCTCGGTCACGTCTACATAATTCTTGAACCCTAAGGGTCTGCATGCTTAACGTTCGATGACGATATAGTATTATATGAGTTATGTGATTTGGTGACCTAATGTTGTTCGGAGTCTCCGATGGGATCACAGACATGATGAGGAGTCTCGAAATGGTCGATAGGTAAAGATTGATATATAGGACTATATTATTCAGACACCGGAAGTGTTTTGGGGGGTACCGGATACTTATCGGGTCATCAGAAGGGGTTCCGGGCACCCCCGACAAAAGATATGGGTCTTATGGGCCAAGAGGGGAAACACACCAGCCACAAGGGGCTGGTGCGCCCCATATGAGCTGCCCTAAGAGGAGTAGGAAAGAGGGGAAGGGAAAGGAAAGAGAGGAATAGGATTCCCCTTCCTTCCCTCCCCCTTCTTTCCTCCCCCCTCCGACAAACATGGCAGGAGGGCGCGGCCAAGGGCAGGAGCCCAAGTAGGATTTGGACCTACTTGGGGCTCCCCTTGGCCTCTTCCCTCTCCCTCCCACCTATATATATGAGGAGGGGGCGCCTAGCACACCCCGGATCAATTTTTAGCCGTGTGCGGTGCCCCCCTCCACCGTTTACACCCCTGGTCATTTTTTCATAGTGCTTAGGCAAAGCCCTGCGAAGATCACTTCACCACCACCGTCATCATGCCGTCGTGCTGACGGAACTCATCTACTACCTCGACGTCTTGCTGGATCAAGAAGGCGAGAAACGTCACCGAGCTGAACGTGTGCAGAATGCAGAAGTGTCGTGCGTTCGGTGCTTGATCGATTGAAGCACGAAGAAGTTTGACTACATCAACCGCGTTGTGAAACGCTTCCACTTACGGTCTACGACGGTACATAGACACACTCTCCCCCCTCGTTGCTATGCATCTTCATGGATAGATCATTGCGTGTGCGTAGATTTTTTTGTTTTCCATGCAACGATTCCCAACACTTGGTGCTGAATCTAGGCAACTACAGAGTGTTTTGTAGCAACTTATAAGAACAAAAACAAATAATAAGTAACTCTTTCATCAAGAAACTTAAAGAAAAAAGAGTATGCTGTCAGAAAATCATAAAAAAACACATAGGCGGTTACATGGTGGCGCTGGCACAAAAACGTCTTCCAAAAAGTGCTACTGGATGTAGAAAAAAAAGCAATATTGCTTTATTTAATTACAACTCCCAGAGAAAAGAAGAGGTCTCATTACCCCCTTCATCTGGGTGATGCCGTCTACATGGGCAACTATTTGTTCTATTTCCTTGCAGATGCGTGAGAAAAATTTGAGCAACTACTGTCATATACCTATACAGCTACCCATGTAGATCCAAGCAACTCCACGACACCGAAACGAAACCTCACCTCTACCCTCCTCATGAACCCCAGCCCCTGCCATATCCCCACCCCCCGAATTGAGCAACTATTGTCACATACATACATAACTGCCCCTGGACATACAAGCAACTCCACGACACCCACACCGCCAGGGATTTCGTCAAGACAAATTGCCGTAAACCACACCTCTACCCATCTCCGAACCCCAACCCCCGCCGCACACCCAATCTCAACTGCCAACCTCAACCCCCCGACCCCAACCCCAGGCGACACGATTGCCATGGCAACGCCATGCCCCGCGGATGCCATGGACAAGCCCCATGCTCGCTCCTCCTTGCGCGTGATGGAGACAACCCTATCGCACCGGCACATCACCTAAACCCTATGCCAAAAAGGAACAGGGACGGACCAGCACGAGGAGATGCCAGGATTACCTCCGCCAGTACCCGCCGCCGCGCCGCACCCACGGACGGCCTCCAGCGCCGACGAATCCTCGCCGAACCAACGATCGCAGCCCTGCGCAGGTCGTCGTCGTGGAGAGGAGCAAAGAATGGGAGGACAGTTTCAAATCGAAAATGGAAGAGGAAGGAGTTCGAGTATGGAGGAGACGAGTGGGGCGTGCGGGCAGTTTCACCTAGGAATTTAGGACGCGGGGCCCACCACTACACCGCGTATCCGACCTCTCTCCTACCGCCACTTGTGTCTGGACGCTGCAGATCGCTCCGTTGCAATCGCGTGTGATGGACGGCTGAGACGCGTGCGCTCGCGAACGCCGAATCGTGCAACTGCACGATTGTGAATTTGGGTTTTATTTTAGCCATCTATTGGAGCACTAATGCACTATTTTAGGGCATCTATTAGAGTTGGAAGTTTTTGATGTCATATAAAAAGTTTTGGGTGTTGTAAAATTTACTCCAACTACGGCGCTGTTCGGGAGTCCACCGGCTCCGTGGAAATTAAGAATCTCTGGAGTACCGTTTCGCTGGCTCCGCACTTTTTAACTAGAACTCCGTCGACTCTGGGAGCGGCCTCGCGGAGCGGAGGGGCTCCGAACAGGCCCTACTTTTGGTGCCTTTTACTGGGCAGATGACTGTTTTTCTTTTAAAAGAAGCTCCAACACCCTTTCTCCCTCTCTCTCTCTCAACAAAAATAAAAAAGAAAACAAAAAACTCGAGCTCCTCTGAAAAAAGAACTCAAGGAGGGAGAAGCATTTTTCTCCCCCTTCTTTCCTTCGTCCGCACTCCACCTCGTCGCCATGGATGCAGACCTCCTGCAGCGCTGCCTCGAGGCCGGCGGCCGCGACTTCCTGCTCCACCATCCGTCGTCCCCTCCCTCCCCCACATCCGCCTCTGCCGCCGCCGCCGCCTCCTCCTCCTCTTCTTCCATCCTCCAGTCCCCCCCCCTCCATGTGGTAAACCCTCTCCCCCTTCGCCCCCCTCTCTGTTCTCCTCCATTACTCCCCCCTTAATCCCACCCGCTGCGTTTGATGCAGTCATTCGACCGCGGCTACTACCTCCTCGTGAAGGCGATCCAGGAGCTGCGGGAGCGCAAGGATGGCCTTGTCGTCACCGTCGGCATCGGCGGGCCTACCGGCTCCGGCAAGACCAGGTAGATTATAACCATATTCTCCCCCATCCCTGCGACCGTGTCGCGATGGCTGTTCGATACTATCTATTTCGTTTGGTAAGGAGCTGATTGGTTGTTCATTTGGGGCTGGTGGTGCCGTGCTGCGCAGCTTGGCGGAGAAGGTGGCATCGGTGCTGGGGTGCGTCGTGATTGTGTCCATGGAGAACTACCGCACGGGGGCAGGGGCTGACGAGGGGAGCGACATCGACTCCATCGACTTCGACGCCCTCGCGTGCAACCTCCAGGTCCGTGTCCGCTTCTCTCGGAGCCGTTCAACATGCGGATGGGATTGGATGCGTGCAGCTTGTTTGCTTTAATGACGGGTCAGAGTGCAGCCAGAATGGTGGGCGTGGATTCCCTGCTCGATCGTATTCTGAAGGCGCGTGTACTGGTTGTTGCTGTTGGAAGGAGAATACCAGCACTAGTACAATTTATGCCTTCATGGGTGGCTGCATACGGGTAAAGCGGAGTTGTTTCCAGAAAGAGGAGTGCCCAGTTTCTAGTGTTAGTGATACTTTCTGTTATAGTCCTCTATGCAAGCAAATAATAGAACAGAGTCCAAAGATGCATATGCTCCGTGAAATTTGGCCGAACCACCAACTTCCGTATTGTGATTATTATTTGAAATAGTAACCGTCCCATGCTAATGATCTTTTAGCCACCTCAGGAGTAAGGTCCAAGCCTAACTGTATGACTTATGATTCACATGTCCGACCTAACTGTATGACTTAGGATGCACATGCCTAGTGGTTTTATACTATGTATGTAGTTGAATTAGAGAAGTTGCCATATAAATTTGGCAAGCAGAATATATGGGGGTAGCTAACATGGGAAAAGGGTTTATGCTTTAATTTGTATCTTTGTTGCACTATTGCTTTCCACCGCAACCCTCATACATCTGGATGCTGCAGAATATTTATACTCATACCAGCAGGGGTTATTAGAATGTTTGATTGTTTATGTATTTATTGTCTTGGCTCTGGAAGTAAGCACATGTTAGAAAAGAACCAAAATCTGTCTTAGGACTGTTTTCCGGCAAATGGTTCGGAGTGCTTCTTTCTGACTCTTGATTGTCTCTCGGAAGGGATCAGAATCATGTCAGCAGTGACCAAAATGCTACCAGAATATTAATAGAGGCAGAAAAAATATATTTGATGGAACTGGATAATGCTTGCTTTTATCAGATAAATATGTTAATAATCTATCTCATGAGAGCAAGCATGATCACCTGCATCAATTATTATTTCAATGTTGTGCCCCCTAGGTATGCGATTTGACAGATATTGTGAAATGAACTAGTAAAAGATATTAGCTTATGGCACGAAGACATGTATACATGAGCTACCTACCATCCTTAAGTTCCGTGCATATGTTCCTACTTGATTATGTAACTTGATCAACATGGCCACTGGCACAAAGCATATCTCACCTGTTGAGCATGCTCTTGGTATTGACTGGGCTTGGTCTTGTTCTTATGCATTTGTGTATGGGCTGCGTGATCTTGTTTTTCTTCTATACTTTTCATTTTGTGGTGTTTTACATACAAAATGTAGTGCATGATCTTTGTGGAGCACTCATTTGCATGATCAGAATATAGCTCAAATAATCCGGGGACCCAACAATCCAAATTTGCATTGGTTCTGATCCGCTTATTTGCAAATATATAATAAACCAAATTTCATTTCATCGGGTGAAATTTCAAAACATGCCTTTGTGAATGAGTTTGCAATTCTGATCTTAAAAGACCAATCTCTCTGGTGTACCATTACTTTTTAATTGAGCATCTAGCAGCCGATTGATTTGGTCTTGTTGGGCCATGCTTAACCAGCTGGAATACACAAATTGGAATTTCTGCTTTGTCCATGTTTCCAAAAGTAATTTGCTCTTTTTATCTACACTTGATGTTCTTATCAAATCAATATTCCGTTTGTAACCACTGTTAGGTAATGTTTAATATTCTTGCTTGCTTGCTATATTGACAATTTTCTGCTTATTTAGGTGTATGACAAGTATCCTTACAATCATGTTTGCTGAGCAGGAACTAGTGAAGGGCAAAGATACGTTGATGCCACTGGTTGATTTTCAAGAGAAGAAACGTACAGGATGGAGACAACTGAAGATTTCATCATCTGGAGTGGTGTGATATCTCAGACTACATGCTAGACATTATTGACAACCTTAGGATCAGATAATCTTGCTATATGATACAAGTTATCCTTGTAGGTGATTGTTGATGGTGCTTATGCTCTGCATTCAACACTAAGGTCACTGCTCGATATTCGTGTTGCTGTGGTAAAACATTGGTTTGAAATCTTTTTGTTACATGACAATAGCAATGGCCCAAGTTAATGTTTAATCTTTTACACAATTTCAGGTTGGTGGTGTTCATTTTAGCCTGCTTTCTAAAGTTCAGCATGATATTGGAGATTCTTGTTCATTGGACTATCTGATTGATAGCATATTTCCGCTGTTCAGAAAGCACATTGAGCCAGACCTGCATCATGCTCAAGTATAAATATAATTTCTGTAATTCTCTGTTTTTCCTTTAGTTTGTAGCTACCATTTATACATTCAGTCTGGACATAACCTATTTGAGTTGCTGGTGCAGATTAGAATTGATAATAGCTTTGTCTGCTCATTCCGTGAGCCGTACTACAAACTGAAATGCAAAAATGAGGTCAGCAATGGTTTACAGTTGATTAATAACATTTTGTGTATGCAGTTTTTTGTAATATAATGCAGCAGCTTTTGTTTACGCTATAGTTATGTAAACTACCTTTGATTGGAAGGTCTTAGGCTGAAAACCCCAAGCTGTTGAGCAAAGCCTGTTCTTTGCTAGTGGGTGTCAGAGCACCGAAATTGAAACATGGTGTTGCGCTGTTTACCTTAACGGCCCACCAGCATAGCTTGTCATCTTTGTTTACATTGACAATATTCCGTTCCTCTTCAGTTTCAAATGACTACTATGTGACAGTGCAAATCTACTTCTCTGTGGAATAGTAGATTGAGGTGTATAACATCATTGCTAGGACTTTAGTTGCTTATCGCTAGGTTTTTATGCAGTCTAGACTGCATGCAGTCAAAGCACTTTAACTTTGGCCATTAATGTCTTTATGAATGTTCCGATCAGATGTATGAAATTGTGAGTATAAGCCTTAAAAAATGCATGTAATAGTAAATTTATTGGGTTCTATAGATATATTTTAGTGGAAATTGCTGGTTAAATTTGTACTTTGGAGACCGTATCAGTTTTCGAATTGTCATTTATTTGCATTTTGATGTAGGATAGTATTATTTAATTAAAATGCTCATTGCCTGATTGGTCAAACATTGATATATTGTCCGATGATGGATACAACCATATATTTTCATCCAGTCAGCATTAATTGCAACCATACTACTTCATCGTACTCTTACCTGATGTCCTAAACTGCATGGAATAAATAAACCTTTCAAAACTTTGACCACCAATATAACCATCTTGATTTGTCACATGAAAATGGTAATATTATATTTGTCATCAGAAGTAGTAGTTTCATATTATTAGAACTAGTAATAATCAAGGATGTGTGTGGAGACTGTCATTGGTCCAAAATTACAAGAAAAGGAAATGGAGGTGTACATATTGACACGGAACCTACAATCAGAATGTGCAGTTACTGTTGCTTAGGCCCCGCTTGGATTGTCGGTTGCTTCCCAAATACCTCCGTAATTGATACAGACCTCCGGCCGTCGTTTTTATTCCAGACAGAAAACACACTGTGGCCTGTAATTTACACCTGTAAATTAAATCTGGGTGTATAAACTTACACCGAATCCAAGCGGGGCCTTAATTGTTGTTATGCCTACTGTTTTCTTGTATTTTGATTCTTTAACTTTGCCTATTGTCTTTGTAGTTACCAGATGGCCAGAAATTCTATTCTTTTGATAAAAGTAAATCAGAAACTGAGAAGTGCGTATCCTTTCTTCCTTCCTTTCTGAATTCATATTTACATTCATCCAGAGTTATTCTGTTGATATCAAGTTCTCTGGTAGATTTATCATGCTTATGCCTATTCAACATTTCAGTTTGTGACAATTGTTTGCTTAAACTATTTCAGCTTTATTGAGATGTACCTTAGGCCACCTTTTGCTTCTGAAGAAATTAAAATTGATGATTGGATTAAAGTTACGCAATGTGGTATAAGATACTACCTGTCTCTCGGGGACCAGAGGATTGTTGACAAGTTCTTTATTATCCGTCCAAAAGCTGAGTTTGAGGTAATGATCTTATCATCCTAAACTTCTGAAATTGTTAAATCGTATAATAACAACATGATATCTTCATTGAATATTCAAATTAGCCCCAACTACCAGGAAGAAAATTGGCGTTGACTTAGTGAGACCATCCACACTGTGTGTGAGAGATAGAGGGCGTATGAGGGAGAGGCGCACGAAGGATTGTGGACGTAGGATTTTCCCCCCCCTTCGATCCGATCTGAAACATTGTGCAAAACAGGCTGATTCAAAGTAGGTCCCATTTTGTATGTTGACCAATTCACCGGAGATGGCCTAAGATCAAATACTATGTGTTTGGCTGTTTACCAATGTTTGGAAGAGGCCAGACGCAACTAGAGGTGTTTTGGCTATTGCATTATTGCATATTCACTTGCAGTTTCTTCTGCATGGCTTCCATCACTGATGAAAGCGGAAGAAAAAGAGAAGGATATTTGTTCTTCATTGATTTTATCCATTATAAATAACAAATACAACAGAGAAATGATATGTGTTAAAGTGGGTATTATTTGTTGCTGGTTTATACCATAAATGTTTTTGTGAACTGTTATGCTGTTGTGCATAAACAAAATCAAAGTTGACATGGCTATTGATTTGTAAGAATGTCTGGCATAAATCAATTGAATTATGTGCCACTTTGGTTCCATTTGTTTCTGATGGATGTCTTACCTCAGAACTTCAGATTTTTCCAGTGTATATGAAATATGTAGGATTAAATAATTTGTTTTCAGTATTATCTTGCAAGATTTTCTAGTAACAGGCAAATGGAATAGAACAATTTTTTCTTTAGAACACATTACCAGATGTATAACTGGAAGCTCTAGCTTCAAGCCTTCAACTTCATTTATTTGGACAAAATTAAAAATAACCCAATAGTTAGGAATACTCCGTCTGTTCCTGAATAGATGCCGTTCCAGCATTCAAAAATTGTTCTTAGATACATGTCAGTGTATCATTTCGAGATAACTTCACACCAATTTTTGCTTGGCATACCCCTCCTTTTGGCTATCTCTAATGCTTAGTATGTACTAGAGTTACAGGAATTACAACTGGATTTGACTCTCTTATGTGTTTGCCAATTTTTGAATGTGTCTCAGGTTGGACGGACAACTCTTGGAGGATTGTTGGCCTTGGGATATAGTGTTGTTGTTAGCTTTAAACGTACGTCCAGAACTGTCAAGAGAGATCAGTTATTAATCGCAGCAGAGACTATTGATAGCCTGAACGAGTCCTTTTTGGTATTAAAAGGGCCAAGTAGGAAGGTATGAGCTCCTGCATACAGTTTTTTTTTACATTATACTTGTATGGAGCAACAATTACTTGGAAACCGTGATCACCCTTAACAACTAGTCTCTGTCATCTCTGGTACTTGCATGCCTATATCCTCATCCTGGTACTCTAAATAATTTTGAAAGTTCTTGTGCTAAAACTGGAACCTTGACTCCTGCAGTACATGCTTGTGGACACCCTAGAAAAGCCTGATGTTTGTTTGCTTCTGGCTTGTAACAATTTTGGTCCTTTAAATGATCAATGGATCCAATCTCCTCTTATCTGGAACATACTATATATTTATATGACTGAGTTGTATACTACATCCTCCTGCATCATCAATGATGCGGTGGATTCGTTCAGGGGAAACTATTACGACACCGCCCGATTTTCCTCCAGTGCAAGCCGAATTGAGTTCAGCTAAGGTGCACCCATCCTGAGTCCAGCTATACGTCCGGAGTAATCCTAGACCAAGTTGAATATGTCACTTGTATGTTTAGCAGTCGTATTAGGGCAGGGTTCGTATTAAGAATCCCTTCCTACGAATTTGAATCGCCATGGTTGGCTGATCTAAGCAAAAGATGGCGGCAGCAGCAGTAGAGTCAAGGATGAGTGGTGATCCTAGCGACGGGTATGTGTCATGCATCAGCAAGAGCTAGGAATGCTAAGCGAGTCCTCCAGAAATGTGCAAGGCAGAGGAGGCGACGGTCTGTTGGTGGTAGTAGATGGGGTCACAGAAGAGATCGATCGTGAGAGCGGCTAAAAAAATGATCTAAGAGGCCGAGGCCTTAATTGGCTCTCGTTACCATGTTAGAAGGAATAGCAACTTGTACTACCATGAGGCCCTAGGTTACAAGTACAAGGTATTTGTACATCAAACCTTTTACAACAGGGTCATACATGCAACGTCACGAAACTGTAATTGTCCATGGAGCTGAAGTTCTACGATTCCCCCCCTTCTAGTTGAGCTATAAGGCTGTTTTGAACTTGTAGATGGCTGTAATTTCTAATTATGTTCTCAATTGATAAGCTTAGTGCTTTAACAGTGCTTTATTATTGCTTTTCTAGTGAAGGAAGGGTGCTTTTGAATTCTTAATTATTTGAATTTCCTTCAAGTCCTACATGTTAGAACCTTTAGGTGTCTTTCTAATTATGTTCTCAATTGATAAGATTAGTGCTTTAACAGTGCTTTATTATTGCTTTTCAAATGAAGGAAGGGTGCTTTTTAATTCTAAATTATTCAAATTTCCTTCAAGTTGCTTTATTATTGCTTTTAAAGTGAAGGTGGGGTGCTTTTGAATTCTAAATTATTCGAATTTCCTTCCAAGTCCTACATGTTAGAACCTTTAGGTGTCTTTTGATGTTCGTTATTATTGAACTTCAGATGCATTTGGAAAATGTTACTTACTTGCATAATTTAGATTGTTGCAGCAGAAGCTTCCAATCTAGGCATAAAGGGTCCGTGGATAACAAAGTCCTACCTGGAAATGATCCTGGAGAGCAAAGGTAGAAGTCTTGTTTAACTATTTTGTGTTTCCAGTCAAAGCTGTCTGCTAATATGTATCTTGTTTGTTTTTAGGAGTTCCACGAGTTAATACACCCCCACCAGTCTCCAGCACACTACTGACTGACAGTCAAGAAAAGAAAATTGCTGTGCCTAAACCAATTCGTGTTCTTACCGATAGAGTTGCAAATCTTGATGACTTTGTGCAACCATGGACTAGGTCTCCACCCAAAAAGTTTGACCAGGAACCTTCTCTGGGAAAATGGCAGTTTATTCCAGGTTTTCAACTTTTCACTTCAGACCAGAAATCTGTGATGCATTTTTCCACACGTTATCTATATGAAAAAGGAGAAGCCTGTTTTTCCGTTTCTTCTCGTTGGAGCACCAACTCCAGGGCTTTCCTCTGTACAATGTCTCATGATTATCTCTAACACGTTCTCAGATTCTTCTTCAAGAGGTAACATCCAGCTAGCACCCCTGCCAGATTCTTATGACTTAGATAGGGGTCTTCTTCTATCAGTTCAAGCAATTCAGGTAAGGTACCACACATATTTTTTCGGGCAGTAGTTTATGCATACGCAGATCTAAGAATGTTCCATTAATCGTTGTTTTTCAGGCAGTGTTGGAGACCAAAGGATTTCCTGTCATTGTTGGGATTGGTAATGGATGTCCCTTTTGGCCTTACCTTATCTAGCGGACTGATGTAGTATTTTAAGTAAAATTTATAGGCCAAGTATCTCCTTTAGGATTGTTGACAAGTACTTTACCCATACCACTTTGCTGGCACAACTCAAAATGTTAAGCCCTTTGCCTCAGATATTCTTGGTAGCAATTTCACATTTCCGTGTTCACTTTATGGTGTCACCATCACTCAAGTGTTTTTGAAACCTAAGTTACCCCCAAGTTTCACCTAATTCTAATTGAATCGATATCTTTTACACGTACTGTACTGCATGACTACTGCAATACGGGAAATTCTACTTATAGTTTTTAAGAAAACAACATGTGATAGTTATGCCATTTGCTTACAAGTCATGTCAACTGTGCTGGATTCCCGGCGCATTACAGTCCATGCCTGTACAGTTTTTCTTTTAGGAATAACTGGTGTTCAAGTGTCTCTTCTTGCTTGTGTTTTAATACCAGTACTGGCTGCTTGTACCTTTCTGGTAATCGAATAAACATATATGTGTACTGGAAAAACTGTCTGCTAAACAGAGGCAGCCTTTCTATTTACTAAATCTAACTACTATACCTGTCAAAAGATGAGTTAAAAGGAATTAGATAACAGTTAGAAGGTCAGAATTCACATCACAATTTGTAAATCGTACCAGTCAAAATAAATTCAATATGTATTTATTTGGTAATAACCAAATCAATCAAGGTGGAAAACAAATGCAAATTAATACTCCCTCCGTCCGAAAATACTTGTCCTCGAAATGGATGTATCTAGACTTATTTTAGTTATAGATACATCCATTTCATCCATTTCTAGGACAAGTAAGTCTAGATACATCCATTTCGAGGACAAGTATTCTCGGACGGAGGGAGTAATAATCTTAGTTTAGTGTAATTGAAAATAATAGCCTTAAAGAAAGTTACTCTTTATTTTAGCCTGTGGGACTGCACCGGTTTATGACTAGTTTATTACTCCCTCCGTCCCATAATATAAGAGGGTTTTTGACAATACCCTAGTGTAAAAAACGCTCATATATTATGGGACGGAGGGAGTAGAACTTTATAGCAAAGATCTATGTTTCTCTCCCTCTCATTGAAAGTTTCTTCTCTAGGTGTTTAAGTTGTCAATATTTACCTGCCCTTATTTGTAGGTGGTCCTAGTGGATCGGGAAAAACAAGTTTAGCTCAGAAGATGGCCAATATAATTGGTTGTGAAGTTATAAGCTTGGAAAGCTATTACAAGCCTGAGCAAGTGAGGGACTATAAATATGACGAGTATAGCTCATTGGATATTGCCTTGCTGACTAAGGTGATGCCATTTTCATTAATTAAATCCACAGATTTTTTGGGTGCGAATTGACAAAATTGACCCTCTATTGAAAGTTCCAGCCAAAAATGACCCTAGTCTGAAACTTTAACCAAATCTGACTCTTTTGCTCAGCGCCAGCCACCCTGGCTCTCAACCTCGCTAGGTCAGCACCATGCTTCTCGGTGCTGAGAAAAACCTAGCAATTTTTGCGAGCCAAACGATGATACGCATGTCAACGTCACGGTTGCCGGAGCTAAGCTTTGAGTGCTCAGCGCCATTCTCTTTGGCGCTGAACAGGTAGTGAGAGCAAGCATGCAGAGCAAAGCAAGTGAGCAACACAAAAAGGCATTTCCTACTATTTATCACTAGGCTGTGACTATTGTTGACTTGTTCCTGTCCCCCTAGTACTAGTACTACCATGCAGGCAGCAGCTTTACATATTTTGATGTACCTGCTGAAACGTGGCTCCCGATTCTGCTACCCTGAGTTAGCATTACCTTCTTTATTCGCCATGCTTTGCCCCGCACGATTGTTTCTGCTCGGGAGCTGCACTCCTGCCTTGAGTCAGTATTCTTTTTTAATTCGCCATGCATTTCTGCTGCATGATTTGCTCACTACCTGCGCAGCTCCAGTGTGAATGGTGACAGTGCCTCTGGCCTACAAAACGACTTTTGGATCACAAAAAAGCCAAGTTTTTCTCAATGGCAAGATGTATAGTGCTGACCTAGCCAAGACCATCATCGGAATGGTTGGTGCTGAGCAAGAGGGTTGGATTTGGTTAAAAGTTTTGGACTACGGTCACTTTTTACCGATATTTCCACAAGAGTCAATTTTGTCAAAAACACCACTTTTTGTGTATTGTCAAGTGAATTTCGAGTTCCTGTGCCAGAAGATATACGATTGCTTAATCTGAAATTTCTTAACATGCTTCCAAATTTCCGGCCATGCAAACTTAGTTGAAGAGCTGGGATTCCGTTAATTTGTCGTAATCAGCAGATTTACCAGATTTGTTGCCTACAAAACTGAACAGAGCTCGTGCCCAGCCGCACCATGACTGCTGCCCCAAACACAGGTCTGACTGCCTCAACTGGTGGTTCAAGTGGTCGCTCCTTTGGAATCATCTCTAGCTCTATCCCAGCCTGTTGCCCCTAATATAGCCTATGCCGCCTTTACACAGGCTGCCGTAGTTGTGATATCAAATCTGGTCGCCGCTCCCTTGGAACTTGTTCGTGCTGCCACCATGGGGCATCCACCCAGGGGTGGGCATTCACCATTCGGTTTAAACTGAAATTTAGTCAGGTTAATTTGGTCTATTCTAATATATTTTCAGCAAATTCCAACAGAAATAGCTGCCAAAATCAGAGACTCCGAAAACAGAAAGGCCGATCCTTTTCTTGGTTTGTTGGTTCAGTTTACTGGTCAACCGAACAATATCAGATCAGCCGTCCTCGCCACTAAGGTTGCGAAAAATATCACGTCCAAGACCATGCCTCCGTGGAGTGACCGCCTTCATCCTTGTTGATGTTATCTGTGATGCTCCCGACGGCACTACCATGCTCATTTACCCACCGAGGTGCAGCACTGGGTGGCTTTGTGACTAGTGTGGCTGCATGGGGAACAAGGGGGGGATGCCACCGCCAGCTGGAGCGTGGCCAACTAGAGTGGAGCGGTGTTGCTAAGGTGTGGGACTTTGGGGTATGTCAGGACTCAGAAGCTTGGTGGCGGCACGATGAGTGTCTCAGACTGATGGGCATACAACTTTAGGAGGGCAATGGGCTTAGGCTAGCAAAATGCTGATTGATGGCTATTGGGCTGCCCAGTAGTAGCCTTTTAGTAGGTTCGGCAGTAAAGCTGTTGCAGCTATGTTGGTTGGATCAGCGAAGTTCGTTTCCAAGACCCAAAAACCAAATTAAGTGAAATAAATTTGCTTCATCATAAATGCAAAACCGAAAACCGAATCAACAGCAAACTTGGTTTCGGTTTAATGGTTATTTTTCCCATCCCTGTATATCTACCAAGATCAGATGTCTTCCTCTACATTGTGCTGGTAATACCAATTGGCCACCGGGTCCTCTCCAAGTCATGCCACTGCCACTGGGGCTACTCTAACGTCAGCTCTGTCTCGGCTCTTCTCCTGCCTTGGGCAGCACTTAGCAGATTGGTGATCGCCACCAGTTGGTCTGGTTTAGGTGATGCTGGTATTGTTGTTGTGGGTCCATTTGAGGGTTGCTATGGCTTCACCTGCTTGAGGAATGCCGCCATTGCCTCTCTACAGGGCATACTTGGCAACTGTTATCAACTACCACAATGGCTCTTGCTGTAACACTACCGACGGTATTAGGTAATGTGTATTGTCTCCCGCTCCAGTACTTGCTCCACCATCTTTGCTCACTTGTCCTCATCGAGTCATAAGACTTACTGTATTTTGGATCATGGTGCCTCCTCCTGGATGGCACGAGACACTTCTCTGGGTCATAATGATCTTCTAGCTATTTACTTGTCTTTTCAGACATGTGATCGTACAATCGATGCCTGCACCTACCAGAACTCTTTTGCCTCATTTCTATACCTGTGATGTTTCCCATATTCCTCAGCTTGCTATGCAGCTTATCTCTATTGACCATCTTTCTGATCTTGGTTTGGCAGCTCCTGCTTTCTTCTGTCAAACAGCAGCACTAGTTGGTAGTGGTTGGTGGTCGCTGCTGTTGAGATCCGTGATAACACTACATCATTGACTGACTTCACATTCTTTTGCTTCCGGTACATCGCATACCATTGCTTCTTCCTTGCACACTGTCACTGCTTTTGATACCACCACCATGTGAAGCTTTGCTCACTGGCACAAACGTTTTGGTCACCTGTGTGGATCACGTCTTGTGTCTGGCTACGACCTGCAAACTTGGTGAGCAGGCACAACTCCCCTGCCTTTCCAGGCACAATGTTTCTACTCCCCTCTTTGTATATTCTTCACTCAGATGTCTGGGGTCTGCCCCCTTTCATTTCAAATTGGGCCATTGCTATGTGATCTTCATCAGATTTTTGTGCCTATTGTCAGGCTCCTTCGTACAAATACAATGAACTTCATTGTTTTGGCGGTGTTCGTAGCAAAAGGGAGAAAACAATGTTCTTTTAGTCAACATAGGTATCAAGGATCACATCATTCTGTTTGCTGCCGTTCCGGCATTTTGTTTTTTGACTTATGCAGTTTAGATTCTTTGTACACATGGTTTGAGTAAGTATGTAGTATGTTCTCCCTTCCTGCCTGTTAAATGAATCCTTTCTTTGCACTGCAGAATATTAAGGAGATTAGAAATACTCATAAAGCAAAAGTCCCTTGCTTTGACTTTGAGAAGTTCAAAAGAAATGGATTCAAAGAGTTCCAAGTGTCCGAGGAATGTGGAGTGGTAAACTAACTCATCTAACACTTCTGTAGTTCATTTGAGTACCTTTTGTTATGGTTCATTTTGCTCAGCAGGGAGCGCCTTGCCACCTTGGTGAATGAGTTCAGCAGGGAGCAATTTTTCCAGTCCTTATTTCTTAATAACTGTCTCTGTAGCTTGGTACTTGTTAAGATCCCAATGCTTTTCCACAGATAAAAATCACATTAGATGATAAAAAATCACTGTAGTGCTATGTTTCAGACTTCCAGCCCAACATTATTTGTTCATGCCCTTAGATTTGTACACATTACAGCTTAGCCTAAATTGTTTCTTGCCTTGCATTTTTCGACTACCAGGTAATCTTTGAAGGTGTCTATACTTTGCATCCTGCCATAAGGAAATCACTGGATTTGTGGATTGCAGTTGTAAGACTCCGTGTTTTAAATATTGAAGAATTGTTGGCCTAGTCGCATTATCTGCTACTTCATTATATTTATATCTGGAGATTAACTATATTCCCTGTACTAGGTTGGGGGAGTTCATTCTCATCTTATTGCAAGAATACAGAGAGACAAGAATCGTGCTGGCTTTTCTATTTCCCAGAATGAAATTATGACCACCGTGTTTCCGCTGTTCCAGCAATACATAGAACCACATCTTGTCGATGCTCATGTTGGTACAAGAGACATGAGTGTTAACTTATTTGATTTATGCCATATGTGAAGGTGGTCTGGACTCATGAAATATTTCTTCTTTATGTACTTTGCAGCTTAAGATTCAAAATGATTTTGATCCTGTGCTTTCTCCTGAAAGCTCGCCTTTTGTATTAAAAAGCACAAAACAGGTAAGTTATGTAGCTCTATTTGTCACTCTTCATGTTTCCATTGGTTTGAGTTTTTTTTCCCTTTTATTTATTTTAAAAATAGGTATCCTACCAAGACATACTAAAAGTGCTTGATGCCAGTAAGGTCTGCAGCTCTGTCCAGAATTTTACTGATGTGTACTTAAGGCTTCCTGGCATACCATCAAATGGACAGCTGACAGAAGGTGAGTGTATTAGGGTCAGAATATGTGAAGGAAGATTTGCAGTGTTAATACGAGAGGTTTGTGTACCTTCCACATTTCCATTTTTCGTTCTGTTTTATTGACTCAGTTCAATGGCATGTTACCATCTCATCTCTTCTATTTATCCAGCCTATAAGGGAAGGGAATTTTATTATCCAGCCAAAGGTTGATTTTGATATTAGTGCCAGTACTGTGGCAGGACTGCTTAAGCTTGGGTACGTTGTGTGTTGTATGGCATTTTCCTTCACCTGTCATACTTTCATAAGAAATTCGTGTAGTCCATGTGATACTTGAGCAGATTGTCTTGGAAAGTTCCTATACTTGTCTAGTGGGCCAGTGGGACCATTTCTAGTATAACTAATGTTACAGATGGATTAGTAATAAGATGCTATATCATATAACGACAATATGACCTCTTCCCTCTAAAATTCCACATCGACTTGCCATCACTAGACCCTTCAACCACATCATTCAAACATATAGCTAAATGCATGCAAATAACAAAAGCAGAACATTGTTCAAAAGTGGCCTGAGTTGTGACTTTTGATGCATCAAGATCTATGTGTGACCCTTCAACCACATCATTCAAACATATAGCTAAATGCATGCAAATAACAAAAGCAGAACATTGTTCAAAAGTGGCCTGAGTTGTGACTTTTGATGCATCAAGATCTATGTGTAGTTTAGGGACCCACTGTACAATTTTATCCTCATTAATTTTGTAACCAAGTGCATTTTCCTATCTTCTTGAAATATGCTCCAGTATCCAACATGAGGATGATCCGTCCAGTGGTCCTTATGCCGCCGGCTTGGTAGTTTGTAGATCTGCAATAGTTAGTGTTGTTTTTTGAGGAGGGATGTTAATAGTATTATGTTTTTTTTCTTGACTAGTGTCAAAAATGCCTAGTGTCAAAAACGCTCTTATATTATGGGACAGAGGGAGTAGGTAGTAGTCATGAGTCATTGTAGCATTGACTACATCTTTGTTCCTTTGTGCTGTGCAATACAACAAACTCCGTTCATAACAGTTCAGTAGTTGATCAGTCGGGAACTGATCTGTTGCATGGTTGCTGGAAATTTTAGGAGATATTAGTTGGTAAAAGAATGTTGTGGCAACATATCTAGAAATCTAAAACTTCTGCTGTGTGATCACTCACGAAAATGTGATTCTAGGCAGTTAAATTCTCAGTTGATACACCAAAAGCTTACTATCTGCATGCTAAATTATTTCCAGCTCTTTGGGAAGTGAAGTAGTATGATTTATTATTTTGCTTCCCACTTTGTAGCTACCAAGCTGTTGCATACATTGAAGCTTCTGCCGTGATTTACCAAGATGGAAAGGTTATTATTTTCCTTCAGAGTTATACTCATTTTCCTTTCTTGGAAAGAAATTTACTGGAATATGCATGCTCCATGATCTCTGGTTGATGGTTCTTCTATAAGCTTATGACTATTGCTGAGTTGTGGTTAAGGACCAAAGGGGATAGCAATTGTACCACATTGAAGGCGTATTTGCCTAGAACGCCATTAGCAAGTTGGCAGAAAGATGTCCACATTGACATTCTGAACCCTGGGGCTTTCTACAACATATTTCTCACGCGATGTCACTGCAGAGCCAACAGCCTTTTGGAATGCATCTCTCATATTATAACATTGTATACCTAGGAGTTTTCTTATAACTCAAAAGGTGTGCATTTCTTATGAACGGCTAGTGCTGTTCGTCAACGGGCAACCTGTGGTGCAATAATCACCATGTTTGAGCCGTTGATGTATAGTTAAGTGGTCTATAGTTAAGGACAGACACATTGAACACATTTTTAGCATTGAGTTAACACTTACACATGATTTGAAATATGCTGAATAGGGTATTTTTTTAATGTGGTAGTTTAGTATTGTGACCTGAAAAAGATTTCTCACAGATGTAACTGCAGTGTTCTCAGTCGGAACATCCTACTTGCTAAAAATGTCCCCATAAAGCTATGTATCCTCATATTAAACTAAGAATTGGAGTATAATGGGCTGTTTGGTTTGTGACTAACTTTGCCAAAGATTGCCACACCTAAGGTTAGGCAAGTTTGACCAACTTAGGTGAGTGTTTGGTTCAAGCCACACCTTAGGCAAGCCACACTTGAGCCCCACATGGCATACACACAAAAAGTGTGGCAAGATTCCCTTAGGCTTGCCAACTTGTGGCTCTCATTTTGGGACGAGACTTGCCTGCTCCCCCAGCGTGCTCCCATCCGCGCTCCCGCATACGTGGCATGATTTAATTGGAACAAAATAAGGCCCGACCCCACCCCCTTAAAATCAGGGGGGGAGATGATTAGATTAGAAAAAAAAAAGGAGAAAAGGACAGCCGTAGGATGGAGTGGGAGCACGGATGGGAGCATGGCGAGGGAGCAGGCAAGCCGGATCCCTCATTTTGATGAACTAACCTTAGGCAAGTTTGGCCAAAATGTGTGGCAAAGTATGGCAATGCTAGTCCTAAAACCAAACAGCCCCTAAATTTCTGGGCCTGGTTCCCATTAAACTAAAAATGTCCCCATAAAGCTGTGTATCCTCATATCCACATCTATGCCAAATTACTGCACCTGGTTCTCCGTCGACGAGCACCCTGGTGCTTGCCGAGAACAAGATGGCCAGCCAATCTAGGAACCTGGTGCCAAAGCCGTATCGGCGAAGGGCATCGAACAGGAATGGCCACCTGACCGAGTCAAAGGCGCGTGCCAGGTCCAGCTTCAGAAGTACGCGTGGGGCGCCAAGCTGATGTAGCAGACGGGCAGACTGGAACACGAGAATGAAATTGTTGTGTAGGCTGCATCCTGGGATGAAGGCGTTCTGGCTTGTGCGGACGAGGGAGTTGAGCTTGGGCGCAAGGCGCAGCGACAGTACTTTGGCGAAAATCTTGGCGACCAAGTGGATGTGGCTTATGGGCCTGAAGTCACCGAGGGCATGGGCGTCCGCGCGCTTGGGGAGCAGGGTGAGCAGCGCCTGGTTAAGGCAGCTGAAGCCGCGGCCTCGCAACGCGTAAAGCTGGCTGAAGACGTTGACGAAATCCTGCCGGACGATGGGCCAGCACGCGCGTAGGAATTCGGCCGTGAAGCCGTCGGGGCAAGGGGCTTTGCGCGCGGGGAGCCGTTTAACCGCCTGCCAGATCTCCTCAGCGTCGAAGGGGGCGTCCAGGTCCTCCAGGCTGGTGGGAGTGATGAGCTCCGAGAGGTCGAGGGCGCAGTCTCGGGGCGCCTCCGAGCCCAGGAGCGCGTTGAAGTGAGCATAGGCCGCGGCAGCCATCTCCGAGGGGTCGGTGATCACGTCCTCGCCGACAAGGATGCTGTGGATCCTGTTCTTTTGGCGCCGATACGTGCATTGTCGATGAAAGAACGATGCGACAGTGCTTTTCTGAACTGGTAGTTATACTGATTCATATTTAAGGTCATATACCATGCTGGCACTCCCTGTGACAGTGCTTTTCTGAACATGACGATTCCAATTGCATACAATTTGGAAAAAAAGTATGATTTAGCTCGTTCCTCACATTTATCTGATTTAGGACTGATTTGCGCATTGTGTTACCATTTACCTTTTTCTCCACACCAATTTTGATTTCTGCAATTTTTATCAACAATGCCTGTGACAATAGATTCATTCTTTCTGCCTTAATCATCATTGGCTCTGCAAGAGCTATCTACTAACACATTATCTTATTCAAATGAAGATTCTTATAGAAGTTGACCATTTACAAGGCGTGACAAACCCATATATTCAAATTAAAGGAACAAATAAGGAGATAGTTTCATCTGCTGCCTCTTCTCTCAGCCTAGATGGTTCATATACAACAAAGGTCTTAAAAATCTTTAGCTAGTTCATCTTAATCGTATATGTACATTCTGCGTATATTTTTCATGGTTTTATTGGTGCTTTGCAGAGCTATCTTCAAATTATTCTGGAGAGTTTACCAGTGGATGATAATGTTACTGCTGGTATTCATAACCAACAAGCTGCTAGGCTACAGGAACTAGTTGAGTTCATCCAGTCACAAGTATGTTAACTTGGAAGACAACACTTTGCATCTTATTTGTACATTATATTCCTGTTACATCTTTTTGAGGAACCTGTCTTGATAGCTATTTTTCAAGGTAAACCAAAGCATCAGTACCTACTTGTATCTTTAATCTCCAATATTACATTATTAGTGTTCCATGGATGATTTGTTAACTTCTGTTTTCAAGTTACATGAGAATGACTTGTAGACTAATGAATATAAATTCTGGTTAAACTTGATATGATTGTGAGCCGACCTTTACCTTATGGCTGACAGTTAGATTGCTTAGCACGTGCACTTCGTGGTTTAAATCTATGTAGCATCATATCTGCCAGTTACTTTTGTCTGAAAACGGACAAGAAGAAAAGAGAAATACCTAACTCCCAATTGTCCACCCCCATTGGTAGGCTTGAATGCCAACAGGGTGCAGGCCAGCAGTGGAGCAGATTGCATTGCAACAAATCTTGTTTGCTTGTTTCATACTCTATCGTAGAAAAGCTTGGTACTTGAATTGTCTTCTGTGGAAGCGTAGGTATTTTTTGTGGTAATTTGGATCATATAGAGAAAGGACATTGTTCCAGTATCTGGTAGCCTGCAGTTTCTGCTTGAATTTACCAGCATGGCAGCATCACGTTTGCCCTCTTGAACATCAAATTCCTCAGGATGTTTTTATTTTCTGCATATGTGTTGGACTTTGCTCGGGTCCCAAGAATTCCTTGCTCTGCCACTTCCTGAACGTCATCAAATTGACAGTTCACTGCATCACCCTGATAATGCTTTTATAATCGAGAATTATAATGGTTTTAATAGTGGTGTTCATCACTGTTCCCAGTGGGTTGGCTAAACAGTTATCGAAGCATGAGTAGTAATTTTGTATTTTCAGATGCATGTGTGATTTAGTTCTATTTTGTCGGTTTGAACGGCTTGGGAAAATCGCGCTTGAACGCCCCTAATCATAGATCATGTAGCTCCTGGAATTCCCGCAAAGAAAGTGTTGGTTTGGCTGATCAGCTGGTATTATGAACAATTTCATCAGACTTGAAATAATTAATACTGTACATAGTAGATTAGTTGTAAATTGGATTTAAAATCAAATGACGATTTAATATCAAAGTAATCAGGTTTTGTGGCTGCTGTTTTTTTTTCTCAATTTATGCTCAACTCTTTCTATTCTTATATATTAAAATACCCCCTAATGCAGGGAGGGAGCTTCAATTCTGATTTATCTTCACCTATAAGAGAAAATTCTTCAACAGATGGTGTGCTTGATGATTTGCAATCCAGAATAAAGAGGCTTGAGAGATGGAATACAATAAATATGGTGATTGTTATGCATCTGTTAGCTTTTAGATCCATTAACTTTGTTGACATCAGTTTAATTCAATTTACATTATAAGCATATTTGAATAATTGAATAGATAATCTATATTTAACTAATATTTGTTCTTCTGCAGGTTTTATGGACTATACTACTGTCTGCTCTTGTTGGGTATTCACTATACCAGAAAAGACGTCATTAACAAGTCACAAAATTGACTCAAGCAAACCACGCCAGTATGTAGTGCTGCTTTGAGAATGCTCTCAGAAAAGTCACAACATTGACTCTGACATCATCTTTTATCCTTTTTGCAGGGATTTTTCTTTATTTCCAGATGTTTTGGCATGGTTGATGAACCGAATCATTTGACAGTTTATTGATAGGTTAGTGCATATAAAATCGTGGTGTTAGTTTCGGAGTTGACATGTAAAGTCATGCATACCACAGGTATACTGTAGCTTAGTTGCGAGCGCTAACTGAAAATAAAGAGGATGTATGTTATACAGGGTGCTGTCAGAGTTTATTCTTGACATGGCCTTTCTACAAATGGACAGATGAACTGTGATTGTTTTCATGAAGGAAAGGGGGGCACTATTTTGAAACGGAGCTCCATTTTTGAACTAGTAAAAATCAAAGGAACGAAAAAAGAGAGCAAGAAGAAAAAGATAAGCTGGACCCTTTGGACTCCTGTAAATAAAGATGATCATAGATGTGGCAAGTCAACCTTGTTAGGTGTATCTGCTCGCTCGCATAAGGCCAGCCTGGGTCGAGCTTCTCTGCCAGAGCACCATGGGCACCGTCGAGAACACATGAATTCTGAATCGAAAATCAACACACAGTGATCGGATCTGAGCACCCGTTGCAATGGTTGAGCCTCGCAGACAGACTGTCACCACAAACCATGCAGATGCAGATGTCCAGGTTTAGCATCACCATGTCCAGCCATTGACGTCTAAGTTTAGGATCGCCGTGTCCAGCCATGGACGTCCAAGTTTAGCATCCTAACCACACCTGAATGACAATTGTCTTCCTTAACCAGCGACAAGTCGCTCAATCTCCGGCGAAGCAAATTGCACCACCATGGCTCCGATCGCCTCCTTTGCCGCAGCGGTGCTTCTACTCCTCGCACTGGCGTCACCGGCGGCAACCTTCAACATCACCAGAATCCTTGGCGAGTTTCCCGACTTCTCCACGTTCAACGGCCTCCTCAGTCAGACGAAGCTCGCGGACGAGATCAACCGCCGGCAGACTATTACGGTGCTGGCAGTCAACAATGGAGGGATGGGCGCCATCACCTCGCTCCCCTCGGACATCCAGCGGAAGGTGCTCGCCGTGCACGTGGTCCTGGACTACTACGACGCGGAGAAGCTGGGCAGCATGAAGAACCGCTCGGCCGTGCTCACGACGCTCTTCCAGTCTACCGGCCAGGCCACCAACCGGATGGGCTTTATCAACTACACCAGGCGCGCCGCCGACGGCGTCATGATGTTCGGCTCCGCCGAGCCCGGCGCCCCATTGACGTCCCAGATGGTGAAGCCCGTCATGTCCCGCCCCTACAACATCTCCGTGCTGGAGGTCAGCTCTGCCATCGTGCCTCCCAGCATCGGCTCCGTCGACAACAGCAGAGCTCGCGCTCCGGCGCCTGCCCTTACTAAGATTCCTGCGCCAGCACCGGCGCCGTCCAAGAGCAAGAAGCCAAAGACGGAGGGAGCCCCCACCCCTGCTCCTGCCCCGTCCGACGACGATTCTAGCGCTAACGCACCTGCCGACGCGGATGGGCCCGACGCGGACGGCCCGGCGACGGATGGGCCCGATGCGGACGGCCCGGCGGCGGATGCGCCGGCAGATGATGATGATGACAAGAGCAGCGACGACACCGGGGACGCTGCGGGCAGGGTGGTTGCCCGTGCAAGTCTCGGTATCGTGGCGCTTCTGGTGATTCTTGTTTCGCTCTGACTTATGCCCCCTGCGTACAAGTAGGTTAGATATGGTTCAAAGCAGCACTACGATGGTGTGTAGGCAAAAAACGTGATCGGATTGGCTGTCAAATCGAAATTACTGTACCAAGAGAAGGCACACTGGCAGGATGTGCGAGATAGGAGGGACGCCGTAGGCGATTTACTTTTTTTTTTGAACATCAGTACATACACAAGCGCTCATATACACGCACATACACCTCATCCCTATGAACGCACACACGCACACCCTACCCCTATGAGCACCTCCGAAAGACTGAGCCGGTATATCATCTTGAGATTTACGAAGTCACCGTAGGCGCCTCGTCGTCGACGGGAACGTCTCCTCCCACTGAATGCGCATCGCCGAAAATCCTGAAATAAATCCAGGAATAAATGCGAGCACCAGGATTTGAACCCTGGTGGGCTGGGGATACCACAGTCCCTCTAACCATCCAACCACAGGTTGGTTCGCGTCGTAGGCGATTTACTGCTCAGTATCGTTCGGTGCGTAGTCGAGTGTGTGTCACCTATTTAGTTCTGTAGGACTAGCACAAATGCCCGTGCGTTGCAATGGGGAAAAATAGTTTATTTTCAAGTTCATTTAAAATAATATGTGCAAAAATACATTCGTTGTTCATGCAAATTTTAGTCAATTTTTTTAAGATCCAAAATTATTGAAATAGGACATGCTAATCTTATAGAATATTTCTTTATCTACATCAACATATTTTCTTCTATGATTTTTTTTAGGAACTCATCCTTAAAAGAAATTAGAAACTTGATAAAGTTTAGCCAATACCACTAACAAAATTCGGAGAGAGATAGCATACCTTCGCAACAACTATTATATTTTTGGGCTTCTTCGTGTGGATGAACATTCACATTCAACGGAAGTGATCTATTTGGATATTTTTTTTATGTTAAAAATATTGTACTAAAATAGTGTTTTGGCTCCCCACGTTCCTTGTTTAAAACAAAGTCTATTTATCTTTTCATTAACATTCTTAGCTTCACCGACAACTCAACATGGACATAGCAAAATCCCCTGCACAGCAGAAAGTAGGCCTTGCATTAGAATTTCAACAACAATGGTTTTGTCGAGCGCCGAAAGCAGTATGTATTTCAATGTACCTCAGCATTTCAGGACACGACCTGCGGCCAATTGGACATGCTAAGGAGCAGAGCCTGATCGATCAGCGGCTTCCTCGAGAGCTGCACTTCATTTTTAGGATCAATAAGCCACTTCATTTCTTAAAAAAAGCATTAGGAAACTTGTCTGATACAATTTCAAGAATACAATCCGATGGGTCCTGAACACCTTATCGTGCTATGTTAGCCACATTATTTTCTGGATTTTCTAACCCTGCCAACCTTTGAGCATCATCGCCACAGCCTTGCTATCCACCTCTAAGTGAACATTGTATTATTAGTAAGTATACAATATAATAGATATAGATAAAGTCAAGTATTTTGGCAAAAACAAGATATAGATTTTTTTAAGGGGTAAAAGTATATAGATAAAGTAGCATGGAGTAATAAACATGCTCTTTTTCTACCTTATTGGGGCCAGTCGGCCTAGCCGCCCCTGCCAGCTCACGGTGCTGTAAGTGCATCTAGTGTCATCCCTAGTTGGTTTTGGAGTATTGACGATAAACCTAATTGAGGGACTAATGTGTTTGTGAGAATTGCAGGATAACACAGGTAGAAGTCCCTCATTGATTCGGTTTTCCTACCAGAGATGACCCCTAAAAATGTATGAAGACATTGATGTCAAAGGTGGTATGTGAAGATATTCACATTGAAGACTATGACAAGAGAAAACATCGCATGAAGCCTATGGAGCTCGAAGACTCAGATCTTTCGTAGTTCTTTTTCTTCTTTATTGAGTCATAGGAACCACCGTACTGTTAAGTGGGGTCCAAGAGAAACAGTCAGAATGACTGAAGTGATGCTTAACCAAAACCTATGTCTTCGAGTGAAGACTATGAGAGCAAATCTTGTCCAGAGTCGGACAAGTCAGCTTTGCTTGTAGCCCAAGTAAAGTTGTCGTGTGTGTTTGAAATTTGACCGTTGGAACACGTGTCAGTTCCTTAGTGACCCAGGGTCATTTCGGACAAATCAGGTCGGGTTGCCTAGTGGCTATAAATAGCCCACCCCTACAACCATAAACGGTTGGCTTCTCAGAGTTAGAGTACGACTTTTGTCGTTTGAGAGCAACCCACCTCGAAGCCTTTGAAAGAGAATTCCTTGCGAGGATAAAGCCCTAACCGCCCAGAGCCAAAGAGTGTTAGGCATCACTTAAGTCTTCCTGTGTGTGTGATCTGAAGACTTATTACACTTGAGGACTGTGAATCCTCCAGCCGGTTAGGCGTCGCGTTCTGAGCATCCAAGAGTCATTGTGGATCGCCGGTGAACGAAGTCTGTGAAGGTTTGGGAGTCTACCTTGAAGACTTACCAGAGTGATTGGGCGAGGACTGTGTGACCTTAGCTCAAGGGGAATACGGTGAGGACTGCGTGTCCGGGACTGTGTGTCCTCAGGTTTAAATACCTAGCCGCCCTAATCAGACGTACAGTTGTCACAGCAACTGGAACTGGTCCAACAAATCATTGTCTTCAACGAGTCACTGGTTTCATCCTTCCCTCCCCTTTACTTACTGTTGGTCCTTGTGAAGTCATTATATGATTGCACTATCTTTTGTCTTCACTGAGTGTCTGCTTGTTCTGATTGGCTTCATAATATCTTCCTACCTGATCCTTACTACCTAGCTGCTATTAGTCATTGTGCTTTCACTTCATTGAATACTTGATTATGGTTTGCCTAGTGTAGTCTACCTTCTGCTGCATGGTAATAGGTTTATTTCTATCGTTTATCTTTGAAACTTCCATGTTTTGAAGACTTTCATAAAAATCGCCTATTCACCCCCCCTCTAGTCGATATAACGCACTTTCAATTGGTATCAGAGCAAGGTACTCCCTTGTTCTGTGTGATTCGGTTTAACCACCTGGAGTTTTAGCTATGTTGACTGCAGGGATAATTAAAGTCTCCGCTGCGTGCCCCGTCTTTGATGGAACTGAATATCCCTACTGGAAGAATAAGATGCGCATGCATCTTGAAGCCATTGACGTCGACCTATGGTATGTCGTCAAGAACGGCGTTCCCAAGGCTGGAGAAGGTGTCACTGCTGCTGACGTCAAGAAGTTCGTTCAACTGGACTCTATTGCCAAGAATATCATCTGTGGTCATCTGACCAAAGGACAGTATGACCGCGTGAGTGCTTTGGAAACATCTAAGCTAGTCTAGGACTGGCTCTCCAAGGTCAATGAAGGCGTCTCAACCCAGAGAGATCAGAGAATCAGTGTCCTTCGCAACCTCTTCAACTGCTTCAAGAGAAATGACAATGAGAATGTCCAGCTCACGTTTGATCGACTCACTGACATCACAAATGAGCTTCAAGCCCTCGGCGCTACTGAGATCACCAAGCATGAAGTCGTCAAGACACTCCTGAGATCACTTGACAGTTCGTTTGACACCCTAGCCCTGATGATTGAAGAACGCCCTGATTTCAAGACACTCGATCCATCTGACATACTTGAGAGGCTCAACACACATGAGTTTCAGCTTTCTAAGAAAAGAGATATCTACGGTCCCAACTATGGGCGAACTCGTGCCTTGAAGGCAAAAGTTGTCTCCTCATCTGAAGAAGAATCTGACAGCAGTTCTGATGATCCTGAAGACATTGGAAAGGAGCTTGCTATGCTTGTGAAGAAGTTCCAAAAATTCACCAAGAAGAAAGGCTTCAGAAAGTCTTCACGATCAAGCTCAAGGAATGATGAAGTTTCTGCTCATGACTACAAGAAGAAAACATGCCACAAGTGCAAGAAACCTGGCCACTACATCTCTGAGTGTCCGCAGTGGGATATTGAGAACAAGAAGAAAAAGAAGAGCAAGGAGTATGATTCTGATGACAAAAAAAAGAAGAAATACTCAAAGTCTTCTTCCAAGTCCTCCTCAAAGTCTTCATCACACAAGAAGAGCTCATCTGGCAAGGCACGTGCGTTTGTTGGCAAGGAAATGGATTCAGAGGAGGAGTCCGCTTCTGAGGAGGCGGAGGTGGAGTCCGAGGAGGAGTCCGACTCTGGCGTTGCGAGTCTGGCTACAACATACGTTGCCAAGTCCATCTTCAACACTGAAGACAATGACTCCATCACCGACACCGATGCAAATGACAAGGACTACTCCGCTCCTACCTACTGCTTCATGGCACGCGGTGCCAAGGTAAACACACACACACTACTCACTATCAAACATCTAGTGACGATGACTCTGATTGTGGTTCCAAACCCAGCTACAAAACACTCGCTAAAATTGCAACTGAACAACAGAAAACCATGGAACACATTCAAAAACTGTTAGACAAAAGCGATAATCTGTTAGACGCTGAAATGACTCAATCTTAGTCCTTAATTGAAGACATAAAAAATCTTCACGTTAAGTATGAGGAACTTGAAAGTCGTCATGAAACGCTCTCAACAGCTCATGAAAGGCTTTCCTATGATTATCTTCAAAGGAAGCAAGATCTTGAGAAATTGAGAGCGGCTCATGAAGATCTTCAAAAAGAAAATGAGTCGCTTCGCGCCGAACAGATCAGTTCAGCTCAGGAAGGATTTGAACCACCATGTCTTAAATGCATTGAGCGTGATAATGCTACTTCTGTTGCTGAATGTTCTAATGCTGCTACTGTTGCAATATCTTCAACTGTTGATGTGGGAACTAACCCCTCTGCTGAGGATACCACTGCTATTGCTGATGAGAATGCTAGGTTGAAGACATTGCTTGAAACAGGGATGTACAAAAGTCTCAAAGGGCATCAAACACTATGTGATGTTCTCAAAAGGCAGATCCTGAACCGAAACCCTAGGAAAGAGGGTGTTGGGTTCGTAAGGAAAATGAATGCTGATGGCTCTTACTGGAAACCTGAGCAGTACCCCAAAACCACA